ACGAACGGGGCGTTTGCCAATTGCGCCCCACCCAGAACCATGAGTTCTTAAATTTGCTCAAAGTGTCGGGAACTTTGGTGATCAGGTCCTTGAATCGCGCGTCCCGAACAGAGACGGAGAATTGTCCGTATCTCTTGCGAGTTTCTTTTATCAGGAACAGAGACCGGATGTCGTCTCAAGTCGGCGCTTCCCAACCTTTCCGACTGAACAACACCAGCAAACTGATAATTTTCAACCAAGCGATTAGGGACACCTGACTGAATCCCACCCCCCAGTCTCGTAGGTATTCGGTGAGGACACGGGTAAGAGGAAATCTGACACCGAACGCGATGGAACGCTCGAATACCCCCACATAGTCGGAGGGAGGGCAGTGAATGCGTTCTCTCTGATAGAGAGCGAACATGCGGATTTCCCTCGGAAGTCGGATCGAGGTACGAAGTCTCACAATTTTGTCATCGGTCATATCGCTCGAAAGCTGAGCCAAACCAAACAAGCTGGAAGACGGCCATTCGCGATAAGGGCGGCGCCAGTAACCCTGTGGAACTGTGGTAATGAACCGTTCGGTCGCGAGATCCTGGATCGGCCACTCCTTTGGAAGGGGAAGACGAAGGCGACCACTGGTCTCTCCTTGCAGAGCTTCTTCATATTGTTCCTCGTTGTAGCTCTTAGACGAGGCAGACATGGCGATAGGGGAAAAGAGAAATAGAAGGAAGATAGAAAATCACTGAAGGGAAGAATAAGAACTCTTACCAAAATCCCAAAATCGGCGTGATAAGAAGATAGACGGAGAAGTTATTCAGACGAGGAGAGACACACAGAGAAGAGTAAGGGTAAGGAAAATTTCCAGTGAACCAAAGAACCTTGCAATTTATAGTTTAGGAATTTGAAGATAAGAGGGAACAAGAGATATTTTGAAATTAATATGGTGAGAGATAAGGCGAAGCGTTTCAAATACGCCATCAATGCTACACCAACCAATAAAGATGCGACGCGTCGCTAGTAGCAGAGGAGGGGGCACACCTTTTTCACGAAAGGGCACGTTCATTCAATCATTATTTCACCCGTTCGGTTCCAGCGCGTCGGTCACCCATCCGATAGCATGTCGACCATGTTCCGAATGACACGTGAGAAAAAGCACTCGCCCGTCTCATCCGAACCTGGGGGCCTTTGTGTGGGGTCTAAACCGAACAGATGGTGAGAAGGGAAGTCACGTGACAAATAGGAATGCACGTGTAAGGACGAACTGAATACGATCACGACAGGCCGCCCGTCGGGCGGACGAACATAGGAAAGCAGAATCTGTCGTAATCATTGTCCAAATCGGCCGTACCATGCGCATTAAATGCTAAGATCATCTTAAATCCCCCATCTAACGGCGAGGGAAAAACTGGGGCACGTGGCATAATCCGAACGGGCCACTGATATTGGGATTAGATTGCATAGTACAATTAGCATTTAATTCGGAATGACTAATATCCAAGAATATTCTGTAAAAAGGAATGTAAAAAATCCCCAAGAGGGAAATGTAAAAGGTCCCTAAACTTCCTATATAAGGTAGGGGAGGACATCATTTAATGCAATGAGTAAATGCTCTCATTAATTACTCTATAAGTCACGGATAGCCTGAGCATTCGGACCAATAAATTAGACCGAATCACATTCACAAATACTATTCGTGCAGATCGAACAGAGCATACATCTTAGTGTGCAGTTCGAACACATTGTTGGTCATTTTTAGACATCAACAGGACTCGAGCATTTCCTCAAGCTCGGACGATCGCTCGTACAGGTCGAACAACCTGATCGAAGAGGGAACTTCCAAATGTTCCCTCAAATCCATGATCTCGGCGTCACTCGAGATGCTCGCCTTCTGACTCACTTCTAACCGGCCTAACCTGTTGGGTTCTCCCAATTGTGCTCGCCACTAATACCCATCTGGCGTCGGCCTAACAACATCAGCTTCCATCCATTCCTATACATGTCGGACTTCCTGGTGGCGATGGAATTTTTTATTAGACCGACTCTATACCCCAACAGGGTAACATTAACCAAATTTATATCGTAGTCGTGGCTACTTCTGCCATGGTTGCGATTGGAAGAGTGTGAAAAAGAAGAAAAGTGAATGAAAAGTACCTAGAACAAAAGAAGATCTCTCTTTTGCTCTGCTCCCTACAGAACTCGAGTTCAACTTTTTTTCTCTCAAAGTAGGGGCGGAGCCAGGATTTAAAACTTACCCGGGCTGAAATTATAGCAGATATGGAATAAAAAATTATGATGAAAAATATTATTTTTAAGTGCTTTTGGAATAATTATTTTTTTGAAATGCATTTTTGAACTAAAATCTATTTTTTAGTTTAAATTTAAGACTGGACTTAAAAAATGTCAATGACACTTATCATGACAACACAAAATAAAAAATAAAAAGAGAGGGAAAAAAATATATTACTGGGGACTAATTTAACTTGTTGAACAATTATTTCTCAAATTTTAAGGAGCTATTTAATTTTGCCAAGATAAAACCCCTAAAAAATGATATCTATGAGATGGTTATTTAAATTTAAAATTATTAGATAATTTTATTTGATGTTATTATACCATATAATTTAATTAATTAGACTAACATTATAAGATTTTTAATTTCAATTTAATTATATATATATGTGTGTGTGTGTGTGTGTGTGTGTGTACTTGCTCCCTAAAATTTCTACCCGGGCTTTAGATTTGTACATGGCTCCGCCCATGTCTCAAAGGAAAAATAGAATTTTGCAAAGGTATAAAAAGTTCAAATGAATTGCGATCAACTATTTATGAGTCCCTCAAAGGACGTCAAATCGACACACCCTTCTAGGCGGGCCCGATGATCCAATGGTTCGAAACTACATCGTATCGCATGCAAATTATGAGTCACAACTTCCAAACTTGACTCGCATCCCTTCATTCCTAAAGCAAAACGATTTTTGAGACGATGTACTTCCCTTAGTGTGTCAAATTTTTTATCTCCTCATTTAATACTTGGCCGGAAAGGTTATTATTCGTTACGACTAACGAAATGGCGCCCATACCTCATCATTACCTTTTTGGAAATTAATTGCTATTTAATATTATCGAATATTACATTGTTCCACATGATTTCTGATCGACATACATCTTTTGAGCGCATCTCGATCTGGTGGAGATCTAATGACCTTGACCCCCCTTGTAATGTGTGATTTAATACCGTTAATTTTTTACTGGGTTTATATTTTATTTTGGGCGCAAACACACAATCCAACATATATGGGCCACAAGCACAGATGAGGATTATGTGTCGATCTATTAATAGGAGTCCAGTGACGATCTGTCGAAAGACCATCGAGATGGATATGCTTATTTGGCGTGAAAAGGAACTAAAAAAGACCCGCGTCATATCCTCAAAAGCATCACTGCTACATGTCCTCCTGCATGCAACCTTTGCATACACTTACTTGCATGTCAAATACATGATCATTGCATTTCCTTTTATAGTTTGCATAAATAAATTGAATTATTATACCCTACGAGAGACCACGTTCAATTCATTACTCACAAAAACACACTCAGAGAGCAATAAATATCATATTGATGATTTATATTCTCTTGGCGATCTCAATTACAATATAGTTATACATTATTGAATCCATAATTCATAAATATTTACGTTTGGTAACTCTTTGTTATCAGTAAATATGTATTAAACTTCTCGGCATGTCTACCGTGAATCAAATTTCTCGGCAGACTACTTGGCTTCCTTGGCCGCGACTAGTCCCAGTGGATTACAACGCTTGGAGTTCTCGTCTGTTGGTTTGAAACCATGGCTAGAACATGATATTGTTGGAGTGACTTATTTTCGCAGGGTAGCTCGTTGACC